TGAGACCCTTGAGCAAGACACCGGGCGCCACAGCAAAAAAGGCTGCCCACTGCTGTGTGTGTGTGTGTGTGTGTGTGTGTGTGTGTGTGTGTGTGTGTGTGTGTGTGTGTGTGTGTGTGCACTTGGATGGGTTAAATGCAGCGCACAAATTCCGAGTATGGGTCACCGTACTTGGCCACACATCACTTCACTTCACTTAGGTCTAGCTAAGTCTGTGTGAGAACCACACAAAAGCCAGTAACCCAATTCTAACAATATTTAGTATTATTACAATAATAGTATTATTTACAAAATAGCATTGTACAGTATTTTCTAAGGAAACGGCATTAAAAATCATTCACAGTGAGCACTCTTTTATTTTATAAGCATTTAAGCAGTCAACATGGGCAAGCATTAGGATCTGAGTGACTTTGACTATGAAGGGCCAAGTTGTGTTGGGTAGACGACTGGGTCAGAGCATCTCCAAAACGGCAGGTGTTGTGGTGTTGTGGGGTGTTCCCAGTCTGCAGTGGTTAGTACCTATCAAAAGTGATCCAAGGAAGGACAGCTGGTGAACTGGTGGCAAAGGTCAAAGGCTCACTGATGCACATGGGGAGAGAAGGCTAGCCTGTCTAGTTCAATCCCACAGCAGAGCTACGGCAGCACAAACTGCTGAAAAAGCTAATGCTGGGTTTGATAGAAAGGTATCAGAACACAGTGCATCCCAGCTTGCTGCATATGGGGGCTGTGTAGCTGCAGACCGGTCAGAGAGCCCATGCAGACCCCTGTCCACCCCTGAAAGCACCTACAATGGGCACATGAGCATCAGAACTGGACCATGGAGCAGTGGAAGAAGGTGGTCTGGTCGGATGAATCACGTTTTCTTTTACATCATGTGGACAGCTGGGCGCGTGTGCGTCGCTCACCTGGGGAAGAGATGGCACCAGGATGCACTATGGGAAGAAGGCAAGCCGGTGGAGGCAGTGTGATGCTCTGGGCAAAGTTCTGCTTGGAAACCTTGGGTCCTGGCATTCATGTGGATGTTACTTTGACACGTACCACCTACCTAAACATTGTCGCAGACCAGGTAATGGTATTCATGGCAACGGTATTCCCTAATGGCAGTGACCTCTTTCAGCAGGATAATGTGCCCTGCCACACTGCAAAAATGGTTCAGGAATAGTTTGAGGAACATGACAGAGTTCAGGGTGTTGACTTGGCCTCCAAATTCCCCAGATCTCAATCCGATCTAGCATCTGTGGGATGTTCTGGACAGACAAGTCCGATCCATGGAGGCCCCACCTCACAACTCGCAGGACTAAAAGGATCTGCTGCTAACGCCTTGGTGCCAGATACAACAGAGGTCTTGTGGAGGTCTTGTGTCCATGCCTCGACGGCTCAGAGCTGTTTTGGCGGCACAAGGGCGACCTACACAATATTAAGCAGGTGGTTTTAATGTTATGGTTGATCAGTGTATTTGGATACACCATTTCACACTGACGCATAGTTTTATTTACGCCCATACATAAATATATTTATAGATTGTATTAAAATAACTGTGATGTATACAAAACATTCCAACCACCAACCGAGGGGAAAAATTGTCAAAAGTATACAGTTCTGTAGAAAAACCACAGTCACTAAAGAGAGGAAACCTTGAGGTGGATAATAACAGTTGCTAAGCTGTAATTAGATGTTCAAGAATATAAAGTACTTGAAATCATTTTCACACCTGCACACAAACAGGAAATCTGGCCAGGATGCATTTGTTTGTGATGTAACCTCTGGGCCTGATGCTGAACTGCTGTCTAAATTTCGTTTTCTTTTCTGTCCGCAGACGCAAGAGACGTAACTTCAATAAGCAGGCGACTGAGGTGCTGAACGAGTATTTCTACTCACACCTGTCCAACCCATACCCCAGTGAGGAAGCCAAGGAGGAGCTGGCCAAAAAGTGCGGCATCACTGTGTCTCAGGTCAGAAACTCAACAGCAGCTCTGTCACCGAGTCTGAGCAGGACACGAGGGAAGTCGCTAACCCAGTCAGAAGAACTGAGTTTGTTCTTTCTCAGCGAAGTCAGCGGTCAGAACAAACACGAATAACATTCACCTCACGGAAAGGCTGATTCACTCAAGAGGAGACGGAACGTGAAAAATGTTCGCTTATGATCGCGTTCCTGTCGCCCGTATCTAAGTGAACTTTGACCCGTGAATTCATGAGCCTCAGTCTTGCGAACCGATAGAAAACGAGTGGGCGGGGCTGTGGTCTCTTGAGTGGGTAAAAAATAAACGAATAAATTATCCTTCTCATGCACTGATATTCAGCATGATCGTGATCTTATGGTATAGACCTAATGTGTGCTTGTTCTAGGATGGAGCTAATATGGAATTTTTATTCTCACAATTTGCATCAGCCTCTCCATTTTGCTGTTTTCTTGTTTTTTTGTACAAAGGGTTATATACCATTTAACCTATAGAGCAAAAGAGAATTTCAGGGGTCATCGAATTTTTCATCAGACACAATTCACAAAAAAAAATTTTTTTAATTAAAAAAAAACAACAAAAAAAAGACTTCAGGGTGGTTCAGAGAACTCCTGTGCCATTAAGACTGAATCTCAGACGATCCAAAATGGCAGCTGCTGTTGACTCCCTTCACATTGCAGTTCCTAGCTTTTAAAGTAATGAGCTTTTAAAGTTGTATCGTTTCCATGGTGAGAGTGCGGCCGTGATTGTGGAGTTAGCAATAACGCGATGAAATGCAGCCAGCGACCAAAGTTCAGAAAACTCCCTGCTAATTATCTCCAGGAAGTTATGAAATCAGAATATCAATCCGTGAGTCATTACTCTGTCACTTTAATTCTCATTTAGCTAACTCGCTCATCTAATGCTCTGTCCTGATTTACACGCTTCCTCTTTCTGGTCTTTCGTTCTCTTTTGATGTTTCATCTCTTTATTTTTATTGCGTTTTCTCACAATGTTTTTTTTTTTTCTTTCTCTTTTTCTTCTGTATAGTTAACATTTTAGCATTCTCCCTCTTTTTGCCTAATTAAGGCTGTTTAGCCAAGTACTATATAAATGTTAAATAAAATACTGCCCTCCGATGAATTACAGTACCCCTCATATATTCTCATTATTACAGGAAACATTTCTGTTTTTGTTTCCGTGTATGAAATCCTTTTTTTTTTTTTTTTAATTAAATTATAATATAGTTATTGTGTTCTTTTGAGTTTCCTACATCAGCCGATCGCTGTTAAGATACATTTCCGTGAAAGCCCGCCCCCTCACAGCAGGACATTGATCAGGTTTTAAAGGAAGTCTCTTATCTAGGAACATGAAGTGGCACTTAATAGAACTCTTGAGACGCAAGATAAGATTTAAAAAAAAAAAAAAAAAAAAATTTAATTTTGTGCATACTGCCCCCTCCCCCTTTTTTTAATATATATATATATAAATAAATAAGTGCCATTGTGTAGATATTGCAGTCTACATAAGGAAAACCTACTGATTTGTTTTAGAGTGAATAGTTAGATTTTACTCACAGCATAGTGTGTACTTATTTCATGTTTGTCTTTACAATGACACAGTAGTTTGATGCTAGACTGCATTTGCTGTACGAGCGTCGCACTTACGGACCCCTCGTCTCTCTCCACACTTTCTATTCAGTGTTTTTCTTTGAAATCTGAATTGTAGATCATTTATGTAAAGGAGTAGCACATGACAGACGTGCATTTATACGAAAATAATCCACACCGGGATGGAGTGATGTGGCCTGACGCAAAAATTGCCTTGTTGTCATAGAACAGCATGGAGTGTTATTCCACTCGTTTATTAATGAAAAACGTGTCGCAAATTTTAACAGTTTATAGTCAAGATGCAGCAGAACGTCCAGGAGTCCACAAGTTTGTTCCTGTGCTCACTTACACAATGGCCATGTTTAACAGTCCTTTCTGTACCAGGATATATCTATCTCTCTCTCTCTCTCTCTCTCTCTCTCGCGCTCTCAAATGCGCCGCTTTGTCCGTTAGATTATATAAAGCGTTTGCCATCCAAGTCCCTGTGTATGAGCTGTTACTATAGAAACGATAACGTATTAGAATGAGCGCATCAAGATTAACCTGGCGTTCATGTTACAGCCGGAACTACTTTCCAGGTCGTGCTGTAATATATACACACACACACACACACACACACACACACACACACACACAGCTGTAGTGCACGCCTTCTGACCAATCAGATTCGAGAATTCAATCGCGATGTGGCGTAAATATCATGTATCTCATTATTAGTTTAGAAGTTCTCCCCGACGTGCTCCTACCTGCCGTGAAATTAAAAAATTTGTTTGTTGTGTACCGTTTCAGGTGTCTAACTGGTTTGGCAACAAGAGAATTCGGTACAAGAAAAACATCGGCAAGTTTCAGGAGGAAGCGAACCTGTACGCAGTAAAAACAGCCGTGGACGCAGCCAACGTTTCTGCACAGGCCAGCCAGGCAAACTCCCCCGCCACACCCAACTCAGGTGTGCAACACACACACACACAAACACACACACACACTCTCTCTCTCTGATCCAGACATGGATAAACCCATTTCGCACTCTCTCTCGCACTCACACACACACACACCCCCATACACTCCCACACACACACAGATAAAGACATGGATAAACACATCACGCACAGCACCTCCATTAAAACAGGCACAAATAACATCTTACAGCTTTCTGCTTTTCTCACATCCTCTCTCTCTCTCTCTCTCTCTCTCTCTCTCTCTCTCTCTCTGTCTCTCGTGTCCTTTTTTTCTCTTTTCTCCATTACTCTCATTTTAATTCTCATTGTCTTTCCATCAGACTCTCTCACCTGGTTATTCTCTTCCTCTCTCTGTTCTTTTGTTCTCTTTGGCTTACTTTCGTCTCTTTATCTCTCAGTACTTTTTTTTTCTTTTTCTTATCTATAGTTTACATGTGAACATTCTCCTTCTTTCTCTTTTTTTTTTTTTTTCTTCTTTTTTCATCTTCATGTTTTAGTCCCTGGAGGACTAGTGGTTAGGCCACAGCGCTCTCACGGCTGTGGCCCGGGTTCGATTCCGGGTCAGGGAACCAGCCACTGGGGTTGCGTGCGACAGTGCGCTCTCAGTGCCGGTCTCAAGCGCGGCTAAAATTGGGGAGGTTGCGTCAGGAAGGGCATCTGGCGTAAAAACTGTGCCAAATCAAATACGTGAACCGACGATCTGCTGTGGTGACCCCTAACGGGAGCAGCCGAAAGAGGAACAACGACTTATCTTCATGGTTTACATTTTCCCTCCATTCTCCCGCTTTCTCTCTTCTTTGTTTCTTTTTTCTCTATTTCCTTCCTTACTACTATCCTTCTACTCACTGTTTTTTTTATTACCTTTTTCTTTCCATCTCAGTTATTTTCAAACTTTTCAACTTTTTTTTCTTTCTCCATCATTTGTTAGTGTTCTTTTGTTATTTGTCTTTCTTTCTTTTCCCCTTATCTCATACTATTTGGTTTTCTTTGCTCCTTCTGCCTTTGACTTCTTCTCTTTGTTCTTCCTGCATTTCCTCTGATTTTTCGCTCTCATTCTACCTCTTGCCTTCCTTTCTCCTTCGCCTGTCTTTATTTATTTTTCACTCTCCCTCCTTCCTTTTACTCATCCATCACCCTGTTACTTCCTGCTCCTTGACAGCACTCTGTTTTCTCCAGGAAAAGCAAATGTAGTTAATGATGATGATAATATTTAAGAAGTTTTTTTTATCATTTGAGCCTAAAATCATTTTCATAATAAAACGCTTTCATACACAATATACAGTAAAACAAACAAACAGCAACAAAAAACTACAGAAGGTTCCCAGAACTGTGTGTGTGTGTGTGTGTGTGTGTGTGTGTGTGTGTGTGTGTGTGTGTGTGTGTGTGTGTGCGCGTGCGCGCGCGCGCGTGCGTTGGTTAAACATGAAGCGTGTGTTCCTGATGTTTCCTACTATTCCTGGGTTTAAGGACGATGTTGGAGAAAATAAACAACAGCACAGTGGTGTATTGAGGGCTTTCACTGACCTTGAAACTTCTTCTTTAACACACAGTCTCTGTGTCACATTCTCTCTCACACACACACACACACACACACACACACACCCCAAGCTCTATTGGAAGGTTCCTTCATTCTCCGTGTGTCTCTTTAGCGCTCCTGAGCCATACCGTTCTCAGTTTTGCTTCCCCTTCAAGGTCAACCATCTGAATCTTCAGCTTTTACGGCTTAGTTTTAAAACCTGCAAGTTCTGACAAGATGCTGATCCTCTGACTGGGTGCGATTTAATGGAAGGTGATCTCTGTACCGAAATTCCTGGCAGATTCCTTGCGTAAGAACCTGCATGCATGCATTACGCATATAATCATACGAGTTCATCAGGAAAGGCGCCTCGGCATTCTTCTACATTTATAACCTGATCTGCTTAGGATAAACCGCATTACTGCCACACTGCCGTACACGTTGTTTACAGTAATAACTGCTGAGTTTCTCTTCAATAATCACCCAAATCAGCTTCCATCTCACGCCCTGAGCTGAAGGTCACTTGCGCCGTTTGACTCAGCGTGATGTGGGAAGTAATATCTGAGTCATTCAGTCAGTTTTGTTACACTCCATACATTTCTTGTTATTAACGTCTTTTTAAAGCGCTGTCCGTCATTTACCAACACAGACGGCGTGAAGAGGGAAAGAACAGACGCTCTCTTTCTCACGCCGGTCTGAAGGGAAATAAAATTAGAGTAGCATGTGCTAATAATAATAATAATAATAATTTAAGCGAGAGTTATAAAAGCTTTTATAAGGCTCTAGAGATTTTCCAGAGAGAAACTTGTTTTCTTTTTCCATCCCACCTTTTTTTTTCTTTCTTTCATCATAACATTCTTGCTTGTTCTTCCTTCTCTGTCTTCTCATCCTTTTTTGTATTTCTTCTTTTCCTCTTTTTTCCCCCTTTACGTCTTTCTTTCTGTTCTTATACTTTTTTTCCATTTTCATCTCTTTTTCCCCTTTCTCCACTTCTTCTTTCTTACTATTGTCTTTTGTCACACTTTTCCTTTTTTTCTTTAATCCTCTGTAGTTCTTTCTTTCTATTATCTGATTCATTTTTCTCCTCTTTTTCCTCTTCCTCTTTTTCTTTCTTTTGTCGTCCTCTCTCTCACTTATTTCTTTTTTCTTTCTTCTCACACTATTTTTCTTCTTTCGACTTCTCACTTTTTCGTTCTGTTTTCTCTTTCTATTGTCTTTTTTTTCATTTTTTCTTTTCTCCCCCTTTCCTCACTTTCTTTCTGCTGTCTTATCTCACACTTTTTCTTCTTCTTCTTTCTTGTTTTCTTTCTTTCCCTCTGTTTTTTTTCTTTGTTTCTGTTGTCTTATACTTTTCTCTTTCCCCCCTTTTCTTCTCTTTTCTTTATTATTTTTATTGTCTTCTCATCTCACACTTCTCTCTTATTTCTCTGTCTCTACTTCCTTCTTTCTATTGACATATCTCACATCTTTCTTCTTTCTCTGTTTCTTTCTTTCTGTTGTCCTGAACCTCTATTTGCTAGTTCATGTTCGGTTAATAAATTGTTTGGGTGTACTGGTTCTCGCCTCTAACGGAAGCGTGCCCATGGTTTACAGAATAAGCTGATTTAATCCTTATCCGCCTCCTCTGGTTACACTTCACTGGAATTAAAAGGAGTTCAGAAGTTTATTTGTAATTATTAACAGTCAGTCCTTTTATTATTTTTATTTTTTTTTAACAATGGCTCCATGGCAGTCGAACATAAGTTCAAGGTCAGAATCACGGCATTCGTTCATTTCCCGCACACGATTTTACTATTAACTCCTCTCTAGGTGGACTTCACACACACACACACACACACACACACACACACACACACACACACACACACACACACGTCTCCTAAGATGTGCTGAAATGTAGCTTTAGGCCATGTTTCAATTTCACTTTACCTCGCTTAGTTAGGACTTGCCCAGGTTGATGCTGATTCTCTTCACCTCCATCAGCATTCCTGGAAATTCCACTTTTTTTTAGGCAACAAGTCAAAACAGGAGATGTGCTGAGTGAGAGTCGATGCTGGACGTAATATACTGTAACCAAATACAATAGACTCCTGTATCTTCTTTAAAGAGAGGCATTCTTCAGTCTCCCTGTCTGTTTCTGTCTGTCTGTCTAACTAACTAACTATATAAACCAGCTGCTTTGAGCCTTTTTTTTTGCCCTAAATGTTGTGCTATTTATCTCTAGTCCAGGGGTTCTCAAACTTTTTAGACAAACAACCCCAAATGAACATCATGAATTTTCTGCCACCCCAAGCTTCAACCTTCCTACTGTTTTAAAAAAATTCCAGGTTTATAATATAAGACTACTGTAACATTCGGACATTTCATGCTGTCAGTAACATGCGTATGTGTAAGGTAAATGAGTAAAAACCAAAGGAACATTCCTGGCACTGACTTATCAGTGTACCAGCGACATTGACTAGATAGCACGTCAAAACATTCTTGTCCGTCAGGTTTCCCAGTTGAAAATGTTTAATGATTTTATGCACAGCAAAAGGGCTCCGTTTCCCTGTAAAGCTTTCCGCTGTCGTCTTGATTGCTGCATCTCAATTCAAAAAAAACTCTGACCTCAGAAATTTGACTCATCTAGAAAATCCAAGACTGGTACGCAAAAAAACTAGAGCTTTCGTTAAGTTTAAAGACGACACGAGAGGTTTTCAAAATTCAAACACCTCAAAGAATTCGTACACTATTAATTTAAACATGGCTTGTCTGAAAGTGACTCCGAGTAACATCGGAAAATATTAGCACGCAAAACCCATCTTCCATATTTCTAATATTAATTTGTAAATAACTGAATGAACAAAGGAGAGCTGCTAGTTTCTCTCACGACCCCATTTGTAAATAAGTAAATGACCCCCCCCATGTGGGGACGCAAACCTCTGCTGTAATCTGTCCAAGTGTCTGTCTGCCTGTCAGTCAGTCTTTCTGTGTCTAATTTTGTGTGTGTGTGTGTGTGTGTGTGTGTGTGTGTGTGTCTCTACTTTCATGTCTGTCTGTCTGTCTCTAATTTGTTTATCTATAATCTGTCTGTCTATCTACATTTAATGATTTTAATAAATAAATGTTTGTTTATTTTTCAGACTATATATTTTTGTAAAATGTGGGGTTAGTGCATCTGCTATCATTAATAATCACGTCATTAATACTCAGTGCAGAGAAAACGCTGTTCATACATCAGAACTACGGCCCAAGAACGTGGGCTGCTGCAGAGTTTCCTGTGGTGGAAAATGCGCATTTTCCTCTTAAATGCATTTCTGATAAATCGGATTGTTAACCACGTATCAGGACGTCCATTATATCATCTCATAAAGAGACACACACACACACACACACACACACACACACACACACACTTTTACCACTTCATGTCTTGCTTCATGTCTGCTTTCAGTTTCTCTCTCTCTGTACACTTAGCATTGTACTACTGCTGAATTGTTGATTCACTTTTCCTTCTGGGAACACGAGCATCTGGAGCAGCATCTAATCGGATCAGTACACTACAGCCGGACAGCTGTGCCACTAAATCTCTCACGCTCGCACGCACACACACACACACACACACACACGCGCACGCACACACACAGCTGACAGTAACATTACTGAAAATGTTTCTTGCATAAACATAGAAACAGATTTCCGTTAATCATATTGATCTTAGAATTCCTTTTTTTTTTTTTTTAAATACACATTTTAAATATTGACAAGAAAAGGAATCATTACACATGATAAAAGACTATTGCACAAGAGATGGCTTAAAAAAAAATTTTTTTTTAAAAACTACATTGACACACACACTTTTCACTGAACTGAGAAACACCAGAGATCGAACACTGCAATCACTACAATAGAATCGAATTCATATCAGCGTTTGTTTTGGAAATTCCGAAGAGGTTTTAGTTGAATTTAGCAATATTTTTCTCGCCGGAGTGACAATAAAGCGTGCCAGTCTCTGGATATCAGAAGGCTTGGGCATTGTTCTTTTTTTATGTAGTAAAATATGTAAATATTACA